AGTTAAATGGTTAGTATAATTTAAAAGTTAATTCAAGAAATAAGATACTACACTTGATCATTGAAAAGTGAAAACAATTATACGTTTGATTATAAATACTAGTACCTATTTGATATTTAAAGTATTTATAATTAATGATAAGTAATAAATATTATACGAATATGCGGGTTATTTTTTTTAAATTTTGTCAACATTTATAATTAAGTTTATTTAGGTTGTGATTGTTATTTTATTACGCGCATTAAATTTTTTCAAATTGACTAGAAATAATTTTTTCTGATAAGATTTCTATCTAATTATTTTAAAAACTATCTGACCATATAAAACAATTTCAAAAAGGTAAAATAGCATATAGAAATGATCTTGTTCTAATATTTTAAACTAACTTAGAACAAAATATTTTGATAGATGAAGTTAAAATATTAAATCTGATATGAAAATTAATCTCTACAAGATAAGAAATTTATTTAATGATAATTATATAACTGATACGCATTTGTCTTACTTCTTTTGTTTTCGTGTTGAAGGAAAAAGTCACGATATTGCTGTTTTGACATTTTAGATATTTTGGTTTCTGTATATGAACTCCTTATATGTCATATAAACATTTGCAACAATAAAGATTCAAGCCTAAACTATAAAATCGCACATTTTATATATTTTCAACTTCAAAATATTTTGCACATTTTTGTGATTTTGATGAATTTTTGTCAAAATTTTAATTTCAAATGTTTAAAAAAATAAATTATACCTATATATTTTAAACATTTTTACATTTATATAGTAACAACATAAGTGGAATTTTAGATTAAACTTATTAGCTTTTTTTTCGATATTTATAAAAATGGTGACTGTTGACGAAAGATAGACACCGAAACACAGTACGAGCAAAATATTGATGCTGAGAAATCGATAGTGAAACTTGGTCGACGGGATTGCCGTGCGACGAAAAAGATTTAGTGGACCGTGCCATGCGGCGGTCCTGATATAGGAATATATAGGTACTCTTCTCAAGTTTCGCGCAGACGTCCCATTGACCGTGTCTGCGTCCGATAGCCGCCGAATCCAGAAACATTGAGTTTCCGAAGATTTGACGCTGCTAATAACGTCCGTATCCTTAGCTCTTATTATTACCCTCCCCGAGTTAAAGTCTCCGCCGCTCTCGTTGGTTATCATCGTGGCGGAATCGTTGACTACGCCGGTACTTAAGCTGCCGCATAACTCGTTGTCCGCCATTCCGCGTGACCAAAATAGCCGGACACCAGACGGTTGAGCGCACAACGCTGGCGAACCTACCCATAGGCGTAACTAGACCTTAAAGTTAGGGGGGGGGGGGGTGCACCCGAATATTTCTTATAAGTAAATAAGTGGGAGTTGCTACCCCTCCCCCCCCCCCCCCCCCCAAACACCTTACATTCATTGATTATACATGTAATATAAATGTAAATTAATATTTAATTATAAAACAAATAATAAACCAAGTGGTATTGTGGTTAAATATTTATATATTAACATATTATTAAGTATTATTTTATATATAAAGAATTTAATGATTTTTAGTTTATTGACAACTTCTTAGTAGAGAGTATTTGTGTAGTAAAAATTACACAACATGATACGTCTTACACAGGATCATTACATACAATAATATAGTTTAAATTAATATTTTTCCAAGATATTAATAAATAAAATAAAACGATATTTTAAATTTAAGTTTAAAAATGTTACTATTATTGGCGGGAGTGTGGGACTAGGAATTATGACAGAGGGGACTAAAATTTATGTTGGGGGGACTAAGCTCCCCCAAGTCCCCCCCCTAGTTACGCCTATGAACCTACCGCGTCTTGGGGTACCGGACAACAAGCAAGGTTATCCACTGACATGCCGCCAAGCACCGTCCATACTTCTTGTCGTGTTCTCCTGATCCTTACTATGTTGCTGTCGTCCTGTCTGATGTTTTCAGAAAAGTGGACGAGAGTTGGGCTCGTGGACGCTATTTGCATCGGGCGTAACTTTATTACTTACGATGTTTCTTAAGTTCGTCATACAAAAGGTTTTTTTATTTTATTTGAACGTAATTTGATTCCACAATTTTGCATAAAAGTTGCTGAAACATTCGCAGTTTTAGTAAATTGTAATAAAAATTATGTAGCCCGGTGTGGTACGGTGGTTGGCCTCATTCGCTAATGTGTTTTAACTTATGAGTTCAAGCATCAGCCGGTGTCGCTAATTCCTGGATGGGTGACCATCCGAGTTTTTTTATGACGATTCCTCGCCACATATACACGTGTTCCAAAACATTAAACAGTAGGTAATTTTCCTCATAGTAAAAACTGACTATTAGTTAATAACCATCGCTGTTAGAGCCTAAAAACTATAAACAAAATAAAAATAAAATAAAAATTATAATGTTATGTTTTTAAATGGTATTGTATTAAAAATTAAAACAAAATTAGTTAAAATATATACAAATAAAATTATTATAGTTATTTTTAATTATTTTCCTCAATATCAATGATTAATTTTAGAAGAAAATGAATAATACATTTATTGTTATTACTAATTAGTAGGTAGTTTGATTTTTGTGTATGAAATAACAACGATTATTCGTCCTCAAATTCATATTTATTTATTTTACAACATTTTAGTGCTCTTAAAAACAATTCAACGATACTTTTACATCTGAATAAAATATGTAAGAATATTGTATAACTGAAATGATTATGTGAACATTATCGTCTATGATCCATGTCCCATAATAGAGGTAGTCAATTTTATGACACGCTCTGTCAGTCGTTAAAAAATTGTTCAACCATGATAAATAATATTATTAGGTAAAAAGTATAAATAACGTCATAGACTCGTAATTTGTTGAGTTCATACCTTATATGGTTAAGAAAAACAGCAATAAGACAATACTTCTAGCTATAATAAATCTGATCGATAATCATTACGATTTTATATAAGATGATGGATAAGTTTACTTAAAATAGGTACCCCCTGCTCATTTGTTAATACAAATTAACATTAGCATTGTAGATAAAAAATGTATGGAGCTAAATATAGATTTAATGACGTTGGAAATATGATACGGTTTTAATTTAAGGTATCTTAAACACCGAAATATATATATCATACAATATATAATTGAAATTTACAAATTATTTCTTGAAAATTATATTTTAGTACATACATAGGTAGATATACTATAACTGTTACAGTTTTAAAAGGGTTACAATAAATTGAAATAATATTGCAAATAAATTTAATGAAAGTACTTGAATTAAAATTGACTAAATTAATTAAATTACTATATAGTGTGGGTGTAAAGGAACGGTTGTAGTTCTATTCTCAAAATATATCCATGTAGCCATGTGCCTGTGTAGGTAGGTACATTATTATTTTACCATAATTTCTGTTAATGGTTTTTTTTTTCATCATACTTATTGGCATATGTATTACATACATAATGACATTTTCAAAACATTTAAAATAATTTAAACTTAATAACACATGGTAAGTAAGAATTTACTGCAAATGTATAAATAATTAAAATTATTTATGTAATAAATGTATTGCAAGTATGAGTAAGACTTACTCATAGTTTTTCTGATTACCTACCTAACAATTTTTCTTTAAAAAAAAAACTGATAAGTTAATCTGCTGTTGCCTGTTGCTGTATATAAAAGGTATTGAGTGTAATTTATTATTGTCCAGATTTGTTAAATTTTTATTTAATAATATATCGCTGTACATAAATAAAAATTCTGAGTAGTAACAGTCTATCAACCTATATTTTTAGAAATTTTATTATTTAAATATGAAATATTTTATCTGTAATGATTTAATTATAGTAATATATACATGTATTATTATTATGGATTTATACCTAGTTATACGTTTTAAATTTAAAAAAAGAAGAAAAAATAACTAATAGTTCTTATGTACTTCATTTCAATTCTTAATCAATTATAATACTAAACCTGATCATAAATTGAAATTAAGCATAATTTTATAACTTGATATTGATATTTAATTTTGATAATATAATATAAAAATGAGAATTTTGTTTATTAAAACAACAATTTATTAAACTGAAAGAGGAAGATCAGATTTTTTTTTGGAGGATAGTTCTAGTCCTTTTTCCTAAAATTAATTTAATTAGTACCTATAAAAAAAACAAACACAACTGATTGTGTGTGGTATAGTGGGAGATTAGATAAGATTAAAAACACAATTATTTACAATAGATAACCATAGTTGAAAGATTTTTTTTATTGGTACCTACTTTAAAAAAAAAATACTGATATAATTGTGCATAAAAAGAGAAGTTTCAGTTTAAGGTCTTCAGTAAATGAAGTATTAAAAAATATTAAATACATAACACCTACAATTTTCTAACTTCCACAAATTAAATTTTAATATCCTTGTATACAAAAGTTTTAGGAGTAAAGTTGTTATATTTATATTTCACATTTGAAAAAACTGCTATTGTATATAATGTTATAAATTAATTTAAAAATAACAAATAGAAAATTTTAATTAAAAGAGTATTTAAAATTAAAAATGAATAACACATTTTTACTATTACATCTTTAAATATATATATATAAGAATCATAGTTGTGTTAGGGGGAAGCTTAAAATGTTGTTTATTCTGTAGTATACGCCATATGACTTTATCCTCTTGGTCATATTCATAACTATTACTAAAGTAAGGTCAATGTCAAATTACACACACATTAGTTAATAGATAAACAGATAGCTGTCATGAAAGTTACACCTCATGTTTTCAGAAAAATTTATCTCACCATAATTCGTATGGTGGCATAGGCAGCAAAAACTAACTTAATATTATTTCAATTAAAGTGTTTATTTATTATATTATTAAGAGAATAATAAAATAATTTTGACATAGAAAATGTTTAAGTTTTTAACAATTCATCAATATTACATTTAGTTATAAATATTAAATACAACAAAAATAATACATTAAAAAAAAAAAAACTGATTTTATAATTAATAGTCAGTTGGGGGAACATATGATTTGTTTTTGTGCATGAAAAATGCATCGACTAGATATAAAATAATTCATCACATAGTGAATATCGTGAACATTTAGAACATTAACCAAATATCATTTATGGTTAATCTTTCTTTTTTGTATCTCCTTTATCATCTTTGGTATTTTTGAATGCTTTAGTAGTATAATCAAATATACCTCCAAAGAATATTGCACATATCAAGTTTTCAAATGGTAACATAGGCTCATGTATACCCAAAATCATTGAAGAAAATACCTAGAAAATAATAAGATATATTATTAAAAATACTGATAATTGTATATATTATAAATGAATAAGATGATTCATAAACTATAAATCTATATATTTAATTCACTTTGAAACTATTAATTTTGATTAGGTTTTCATACATATTATTAACCAAGCAATGACATTTATAAACATTTTTAAAAATAATGGGTACAGAGGAAACATTTGTACATATAAATATAATTTTACCACAAATATTTTTTCTTTATTTTATTAGGTTTTATATCACAAACTAATAAATTCATTACATACACTTATTTAGGATATATTTATATCACTAAAAAAAATAGTGACAGAAATAATATATATTATTATTCCAAAATTTATAATTTGTTTTTCCAATTTTTTATTTTAAATCTACTCTTGGAATAATATCTGTGTTATTAATAAATTAATTTGTTTCTTGGAGAAAAATCTATAAATACATAGATATTATGCATATAAAAAAAAACTATAACTATTAATTTTCTAAAATTAATTCTACTCTGTTGAACAAAAAAATAAGTTTGATAACTTGAGCAACAATAATCTAAGAATTATTCTCTAAATGAATATCCAACTAAATCTTTGGTAAATATTTGAAAATTAAACGTCATTGCAAAGTATTCTACATATTATGCATGTAGCAAATAGACTTCAAAATAAATAATAAGACATAAAAAAAAAAAAAACTTTAGATAGTTGGTGTATTATCTTATAATAAATATAGTAATTATAGGGATTATATAGATCTATAGATTTCTAAAATCTAATTATTAAGGTTTATAGTAGGGCTTGTTTTATACAGACATGTATTGTACATGGTGTATTGAAATTTAAATCATTTCAATTTATGCTTTTCACAACAATAAAGGCAAATTTTGCAGAAGAACTTAAAATAATGTAAATTTGAATTGAACAATGTAAATTGTAATCATGTTAACCATGCTTTATATTTTAAGATATAATTTTAGATAAAACATTTTCAGATGTTTTATTAAATCTTACTTTTACATTATTTATAAATTAATATTTAAAATATATTTAACAAACCTTAAAGTATATGAAGAAACCAATGACAAAAACATAAACGAAAGCATGTGGAGCTGATATCAAATCACTTTTAATATCAAGTACAAACACCACGGATGCTATAATACATGCCTTAGTAGTACTGTAAGGAATAAATTTAATATAATACAATTTTAAAAATAACACAAATTTATTTTACATACAAACTTGGTTGTAATGTTTCAATAGATGTGGGTGTCCATACTCCTCGTAACAGTCTTTCAATAATTTTTGTAAATGAAGCACCATTTCCTAGAGTCAATAAATATATACTATTTTGTTTAACAAAATTATAAACTAAATACATTAATAAATTTTAATACCTTTAAGAGTCCCGATTAAAATCATTATAATGTAGGCGTTGGGATAGAGTTTAGCTGCATGCAATACACCATCATGTACTTTTTTGCAACTGAAAATAACATATTTGTTACAAGAATACAATAAAATAAAATAAAATACATACCGATATATTTCTTTCATAACAGAAAACACTATTTTTACAGGAAGAAATTTTGCAATACTGTACCCAATATCAAATGGTGTGTAAAAAACTAGATACCTAGGAAAATTAATTTGATAAAATAGATAAAGAATAATTAATTTCTAGAGATCAGAGTGTTTATTATTCATAAAAGTTATTACCACACAGCTGAAGCAATTATAAGTTGTTGAGTGTTTTTGAGCGGTGCCAAAGGGGGTTCGCCGAGTAGTGCAGCGCTCAGCATACCTCCGGCAAAGACGACCAGCATCGTAGATAGCCAACAGGAAATGGGATGCTTACGCGAAAACGCCAGTGCTCCTGTGGAATGCGACATATGCATGCACAAAAGTAAGTAACAATACTGGTCGATTTAAATTACTTGTTCCATTATTACCTGGACCGAGGTCGTCACGGACATGGAGCGCACAGAGCACGCTATGCGCCACGTCGAAGTACGGGTACATCTTCCATTTGGTCACTTGGCTGGCAAACTCCAAAAACGATTCGGCGTCCATGGTCCGTCCTATACAACCACATAAAAATATTATATTAAAATAACTTGCCTGTTACTCTCGATCTATATTACAGTAATACAGCTGTGGAGATCTCCAACGGCGTACCTACCGAAAATTGTGGCGGGCTCTGTGAGGTGCACTGTCGGCGTTTACCGGGCGAATTATCTATCGTTAAACAAGCAGACCTGCCAGTGAGATCAGTAAGATAATTATAGCACCGTGCCCCGGCGAGAAGCGTGTCCGTCCCGTCGGTGTATAAATAAAACGCGCGACAAACGACGACGGCTGAGATGCGCACTGCGGACGACGCTCGCCGTCGTCAGTGTCGCGAAGGCGTTCGCTCAGGCGTTTTGTGATTTATAAAAAAACAGACTCGCCACGTTTCCTTCAACTGCAGCTTTCGACTGCCGTAAATATTAAACATATAATAATAATATGAGATAATGATAATGGCACAGCGCACTAGATACCGTCACCACAAACTATGGTGACTATTTTGTTCCGTCACTAAAGAATTCCGTTGAGTGTTAACAGTAGATGGTGTTTAGATTTAAGATGTGTTCACCCACAGTCTATTTGCATACTGACATCTTGACAAGCTTACTACCATAATAAAATAGATTTATTTTTTACTTATTTCACTGTTCACTGTTGTCCCTTGTTAGTTTTTTACGTAACTGTCATAGCACCACACGGTACACACTATGATATTATAATTTATTATCTCCATAGCACGCGTATGGTCGTATATTTAACTATGTTATCATTAAACAATTGCCGCCAACGGCGCCAACAGTAAACAGATAACAACTGTCAACTATTATACTGAATAGTGAATACTCGTATTAACAAATCAATGCATAACATGCAATAAAATTTACATTGAGCGTAGTTAACTGGTTACTGGCATATGGCATCAATTCTGCTGCTGGCTGCTGCAGAATACTCCCACGCAAGACCGGTGTCCGGTGCTACAAATTTCGGGACTCCATTCAAAATATTTTAAATAACATAATAATACACAATAATTAATACTTAATATATACTTTTTAATTTTTAGTTCAAATAAATTAAATGAATGTATACAAGCAGTTCTTGGCCACAAAAATATTTCGATACCGAATGCAGATATTCAATACGTAAGAGAACTCGATCTTCACGCAAATGAAATGTAGAAGGTTATGGATGGAATGGAATCAAATGAAGCAGTTCTAGAGAAAAATAATTTCACACCGAAACCAAATCTAGGCTAACCCAATAATATTTGTGAGTGATGTTATAAAGTTATGAAAGGAATTATTGTACAAACAATATCCATGTTCTTAAAATTAATTGTAATGCGTATTTGTGTTATACTTCAATAAAAATAATTTACATCATAATATTATATTAAATAACTGTTGTTTTTGTATTTTTAGTCTGAACTTACCTAAATTTTTATTTTTTTATTGTTTAAAATTTGCAGATTTATTAAGTCGACTGGACTATCAGGTACTTGTCAAAAAAAAAAAGTTTGCAATTATTTTAAAAATATTAGTGAATTTTTTAAATCAGTTTGACAATAAGGGGACTTTTATAAACTAAAAATGTATTGATTTGCAAATTATTTTTAAAATGAGTAGGTACATAATTTTCAAATTAATTCTTTGTGATGGGATGACACCTTCATGCACGTAAAAATAAGTGCTAGTTATGTTTTGAAAATTGCATCATTTAATGTTTGCGGGAAGCTGAGGAAATACGCAAATACGAATAACGGATTTCTATACATATAGTGCGGGGGGAGTGACGTGTGAATCTCAGGTTTGGTCTTTCTAAATATATGCTAAATATTGGAACAGGAAAAAGATTTTTTTTTTGGAAATATTGCATTTATTATATTATTATAAGTATTTAATTATTATAATACTATATATTTATAACAATTTATATAATACTCAATTTTCTTACATATTTCTGTAAATACTGTAAGACAGTAAAATAGGTTCATAGACCATAGTGTCGATAATATTATATTAAAATAAATTAATAATGTCAATGCGTATAGTAAAATAATTATAATAGCAACTTGTGTAATAGGAAGGGTTAATTTAGTATTATATGCTATGATTAATGTAAGGTAAGAACTTTAAAAAAATGTATATTTAATTAATACATTATAATTTATAACAAAATATTACACAGTTTTTAAAAATCTTGTTACAAGGTTTCACAACATCCATGATCCATAGGTCTTCATTTTCAGAGTTACTTAAATGATTATTATACTCCTCATAAACAGATTTTTTTTTTAAATACCATAATCTTCCAAAATTAATAAGTTCTTATCAAAGTTTGTTTTTTAATTCATTTTCACTTAAATGATCATCAATAAACAACTTCATTTTTTTTTTGTGGGATGACTTTGTCAAAGATTTAGTTGGATAGAAGTCCATTTTTAAATAAACTGAAATTTGATGGAAATAGGTGATAAAGATAAGTCAATATCAACAAATTATTATTATTTGAAAACCACTTATTCGTACTTTCCATAGTAGTACATGTCCAACACAGTTCTATATTTTTATGGTAATTTTTTTCTCTTTCTTCTTCTTCAATTGGTTCATCGTTACTTTCATAACTTGCTACTTTTCTTTTCTTAGCCATACTCTGAATTTTTTCAATTTCTAGGTCTTTACTAGATTCATCAATTATTTTTTGTATCTCATTACATCCGACGATTTCTCATATTCATACGACTTTGCAACACTATTAAAGTGTAACATTACCTATTGTATTAATAATATACTACAATAATTGCATAGTTTTTTTAAGTTTTAATACAAATAAATAGTTCACGAATTTACTTATTTGTAATTAAAATCTAACAAGAAATAACCAGGCAACGAGCGCATAATATGGTTCAGGCCGTTTGGAAAATTCTCATTTCCAAATTGACCACTCCGCCCTGGTATCATTATGTCAATAACGAGTATTAATATAAATACAATACGTAAGTAGGTACCTATTATTCTCTAAGATATTACTAAACTAATATTTCAATTATAGTTTGAAAAACATAATATTATTATTATGCCACTAACGATTCGTTTTTCTGGAGTGGGGTCCGCTTCTGTCGACTGTCTCTGTGGAACTTTGTGCTGATACATCGGTTGCACTGCCCTTGCGTCGGCCCTGCTCCCATGTTTTAATCTATGACCTATATAGGTACTAATAATATAATAAAACTGATGTATTGGTTTTTTGTTTGAACGTGCTAATCTCTGAAAGTTGGAACTACCACTAGGATTTGAAAAAGCCTTTTTGCATTTGGTGGTCCAATTTATGAGGAATTATTGGCTATAATATGTTATTTAACATCACGCTATTCTCTTAGGAATCACATGAAAAGGAAAAAAGAAAGAACATTAAGTGAAAACGAAGTACTAGCGCTGGTGGGCTAGGTACTGTTCGTTTTTCTTTTTTTTTTTTTATTCAAATCAAAAAAGGTATGTATCAGCACAAATCATCAATTTTTTGTTTATATGTAAATTGTTGTATGTCTGCTCTTTAAATATTTTGTGAAAAACAGTGAGGATTCTAAATGATGACCATCAATTAGAAGGTTTTACGGAAAATATAAAAATGTATATCTTTTAACGTATAACATTGGTATATAGAACATCTAGAAATAGGTAAAAAAATTTATTGTTCAAATATCTTCTTTTTTTCTTTACTTCATAAATGTTTTAAAGATGACTAATCATACTTTATTTGAATTAGGAACTAAAAGTTATTACAGGCACAAACTTCAACAATTAATTTTTAATTTGTACTTTACATATAGTTATATAAATTATAGTTTATGAAAAATTGTTATGCAAATATTAATAAATATTAATATCCAATTTTCAAATTATTGTTATGCCAAGCTTTGAAAATTGTTACGCAATTTTAAGAACTTATTGTTATGCAAATAGTTGTATGTTATGTCGTTATGATAATTAAAATATTTGTAGGTACTGTTGGAATATTTAGGGGAGGAGCAAAATGATACCTTTGCCCCTCACAAAATTATCAGGACAAGTGTTCTCCTTGCTCCCTCTCACAATTACACCACTGAGCTATGTTATACTATTAATTATTATACAAGTAAAAAAAAATATTTTTATTGTTTCAGAATTTGAGTAGAGCGATCGAGCGATGAATGTATTAATTGTACAACGATGTATATTTTTTATAAAAAAATTTTTCTATTTGTCATCACTTCTTGGGTTAATGAAAATGATTTAAATTTCAAAAATTGGGGGTGTTTTTTGGCATTAAATTGGATCTCATTGGTACTTTATGGGGTAAAAATTCTAAAAATACATTTTAAAATTAGTAAAAGCAAAAATTAAACTAAGGAAAAACTGTAATTTTTACAGAAATCCAGTTTTTGACAAAATTGATTTATTTATTTTTGTATAATTTAAAACCGTAGATATTTGAAATTTTAATAATTTCATTTACTTGGGTACCTATGAAATTTTATAATCAGGAAAAGCAAAAAAAAAAAAAAAAATAATAATCAAATTTAAATAGTTAAATTTTTAAAAAGTGTGTTAATAAATTATGTTATCATTTAAATGTTGTCTTTGATAACAATATGTAGAATTACGTGTAAATTTATTGAAAGACACATATAATACCTTAACCAACGAAGAAAAGGTATTAACCACTAAATCTATTATTTCTAAAATTCAATATAGGTTATAATTTGTTAGATAGTGTTATATTTTTCAGTATTTTATTGTACGTTTTTTATTGCCTTATATGGATTATAATATGATCTGGATAGTAATATAAATTATTACTAAGAATCCAATTACCATCTTGAAATTTGACTATGATATACAATACTCTATAAATAATAGAATAACAAAAAATATATCATGTAAGTTTTATGATATAGAATCGTAGATAGGCACTCAAGTAATTTGTTTGTCCAAACTGATGTGAAAAAAAAGCACATCATAATGTTTGCACCATATCGATATTATTATATTAATACGAGTATATTATGCATTATCCTAGAGAACTTTTTTTATACATGTTTGGATAAACAAATAATTTATGTGATATACAACTTATTTGTTTATACACGCCATTATATTTTGCAAATTGTGATTAATCGCGAAAGAATTCGTACCACTTTTGATTTTTGAGAATGAAAACTGAACAGTAAAAACTAAAAAGTTGTGAGTAAAAGTTAAAACTTTAAAGGTAGTTAGATTTTTAAATTTATTTTGTGGTCAAATCTTTGAATAACTATAATGAGATAAATTTAAAATTAGCATTAGAATATTGAAAATATCGGGAATAATAAAAAAAAAAATCATCTCATTAGACATTAAATATACAAAACAGTCTTAAGAATTAACACAAATGTTGTACCTGGTCAATTTAATTAATATATTAAAATTGTTTTCAAAACTAAAGACAATAGAATCAATTAATCTCATTAAATTTAAGAAGAGTGAAGGTGTTAACAAGATGCTATAGAAAGTACCAAATTGCAAATGAAAAAGAAAAAAAACTGTTTCTTAGCAGGTCATGGGGCAGTGGATAAGACAGTAGGAAAAATCCAGGAGAATTATTATTTTTCCAAGGTGTGTTGTTATGTGTGATACCATATTACTTAAGTTATTATACTATAAATATTATGGAATTAATTCTCTAATTAATCTAAAATTAAAATAATATATTATATATGTATTTTAAAACAAATAATAATTATAATAATATCTTAAGTAAATAGTGCTTTTAATATATATATAAATTATGTTTATCAAAGAAGTAAATAATAATAAAGAAAAAATAAATATATCATAGGTAGGTACATATTTTATGTATACCTAGAGGGATATAAGTTAATATTGATTTGGTATTAGTTGAACATGCTGAGATGAACCAAAAGTAGTTAATGAGGGTATGTTTATAAAAAATAATTCTCAATATTTTATTGTCTGATATTAATTTTTTTGTCATCAAATGTAAGGCTTCTTTTTTACTAGGTAAATAGCCAATAATTAAAAGATATTCAATTCACAGTTTATAAATAAAAAGATAGGTACATATAAAAAAGTTAATGTTTTTATTATTTTTGACTTTTGAAATACTTACTTTTTACATTTTATAGAGTAAAAATACTGAAGTTATGGGGGTGAGATGGTGGGAATACCGCAAATACCATGTAGCAATATTTTATGTTTGTATATAATATATAATAACGAGTTTGGTGGTGCCCAACTTGCCCAATAGAACAACATGTAAATAAAATAATAACATTTTGTGGGAATAATATGATTAAAAATTTAACTCAATCCATGAGTAAACGATTTATCATGGGTTATCAAATGTCAAATGATTATGATAACAGTGGCGGCGTTTCAACTTTTTAGTTATTTTCTTATCAGTATCATCGTTTATCGCATAATTGATAAATGATAATATTTGCATTCAATATTTATGGTGTATATGGTATACCGCATTACTGCACTTGCGCGTGGTTGTCATCTTATACAAATATTTCTGTCATAGCGCGATAGTAGTAGCACACTTTTCGTTGCCTTTGAGTGTTGTATGTATACTCGTCCCGCTACTCCACTGTTGACCTTACATTCTAAAGTCCCTCCCTTTTTTCTTGTGTTGAACAGTGTAATAATAATAATTAAAAATTAAATTTAACTAAAAAAAAAAAATAACTTTGTCGTACTTTGTCTATTCTATTCATTGACCGTGATCCGTGACCTCTTAGAGGTCGTTCTGTAGGTACTATCTTCAGACTCGCGGTTTTAAAATAGAGCAAAACATCGGATGCTCTTGCAGTACTCAATTGATAGCGGAACCGATTACTGACAATACGTTACTGTTCGTCGCCAATCAGCTCTATGGCCCTACTGAACATGATTAAATAGTCGCTCGTTAACATTAAATACATTTATATTATTTTTAAATTATCTTCCTCTTCCCGTGCGTAAAAGTCCAAATTGTTATCAGTTTCAGTTCGTTTGTACACAAGTAAGAATTTTATTTTTTTATTATTGTCATTTTTAATATTTTATTACTAATATGTAATTTTTTTTTTTCAAGAACATTATGGAGGAAGATCAAAAGAGATTCATTGAACGGGGTTCTCACAAAGGAAAAGGTCTTGCTGTTTTCACTAGTGGCGGTGATTCACAAGGTACTAAATATTTTTCAAAATTTTTTCAATTACATACAGACGAGTTGAAAACTAACTAAAAATTATGAATTTGTTAAACCAAAAAATAACTGTTTATTTATCTTTAAGAGTGGTAGGTTGGGTTTTTTACATCATATCTGTATCTAGTTTTTCAATTAAAGAATTGGAATGATATTCAAGTGAAGAATAAACTTAGTTTTATTTTAAACGTTTTGGAGATCCTTACATCAGTATACATATTTAACTATATTTCAGTGCTCAATTTAAGTATAACCAACCATTATACAGTGCTTGCTTTTAAAACTGTATTTCATTATTATATAGAAAAGTATAAGTAAAATTTATCTAAAGTATTGAATATTGAATTTTATAAATAGTTAAATTGTTTAGTTATTCAGAGAAATTACTTTGCCAATCAAATGAAAAAAAACACTATTTAAAACAATATCATGCTTACAATGAAAATTCTAAATTTCTTACTGTAAAAAAGTATAATTTTATAAATATGCACTTATATATTTGAAAAAACATAATATATAAACTGTAAACACTTATTTGGAGTATATCACTATTTTATTTTATTGTTGTCATTACTTACTGTTTTTATTAATATATTATGTACTATTCGTCCTCATTTAATATTAATCAAATTAAAACAAAAAAAATTTCACCTAGGTATGTGATTATATTTTTAAATTCTATATTTTATTAACATTACAAAGTTTTATTATTTCATCATTTTACTCATACCTACTTTTAATTATTTAATTCATTTTCATTACTTGATGTTTTTTTTCTAAATATAATTGTTGTGTTTATTTGGTGTGTTTTAAAATTATATTATTAAAAACATAAAAGTAAAGATAATTTTGTACAAAAATTTGTGGGTAAAAGTCTTACTTATTTCAAATTAATCTAAAAATATGTTAATAGGTATTTTAGAATAAATTTAATATAATACGATTGATGTTGGCTAGACACAATAAGATTTGCAATTTTTTTTGAAACCCAACTCAACATGACTAATATTATTTTTCTTATGTTCAATAATTCTTTAAATAATTTTTAATTACTATTAATATCCTATTTTGGTAAAACTTTAATAGTTTAAAAGAATTTTATAAATTATTTTTATTTTTACAGGTATGAATGCTGCTGTTCGTGCAGTTGTTCGTATGGCTATATACCTTGGCTGCAAGGTGTTTTTCATTAAAGAGGGTTACCAAGGTATGGTGGATGGTGGGGAGAATATAGAAGAAGCTAATTGGTCTTCAGTGTCATCTATTATACATAAGGTGTGTTGAGTAAAATTAATTTATGAATTTTTTTGTTAGAATGTATGTTTATATAAATATAAAAAATTTGATAGGTATGTTCTCATAAATATGTATTGTTTTTGGTTCGTGCAATGTATTTTAAATGAACTACTCATTTTGAATTTTTATGAAGTTGCTAGTTTTGTTTGTTGTACAAGTGGTCCAAAAAGTGTTTACTGTTGCAATTCAATAAAAACAATAATTGTCTAAAATAAACATGTTTTCATGTAATAAAATAAAGGATCATGAAATTCTAATTAACTTATATATTATAGATATCTTAAGTCATAGTAAATTTTACACTATAAAATAAGTTGAATGATGAATATTATAAAATTGTATTCATCTTTATACATCTTTAAACAAAATCTGATCACCTATAGAAAATTGTTATTTAGTATTGTTGTTAAATAAATATACTCCTTGTACTGTTTATAATTAATTTTTGTTTTTCCATTTTTAGTATTTGAATTTTAAAAAAATATTGACTTTTGTGTAACTTACTTATATGGTGATTTTATAAATATAAATAGATATAATTTTTTATAAAAAATAACTACATTTATGGTTACTCTTATAGCATGACCTCAATAAACCAAGAAAGGCCAAGTTTTATTATAACTTTGATGATCAGTAAAATAAGTATAGATAGAGACATTATTTCAAAGTTGAACGAATTTGTAATTTTTATTATGTCTATATTTTTATTCATCAAAATGCAGCTCTATTTTTTAATGGTTAATTGTGGTAAAACTATCATAAATGTACTGCAAATAATTTCATTTTTAAATGTTATTTATAATATTGTCTGTTGTATTAATCTACTTGAGATGTTCTTTACCTTATTGAGTTAAATTATTGCTGACCTTCAAATAACCCCTAGTCTTGTTTATAGAACATTATTGAATACATGTATTGTATAATAATTATTGATAATTACAGTATTTAATATTTTATAATTTAGGGTGGTACTGTAATTGGTTCAGCTCGATGTATGGATTTCAAAGAACGTGCAGGACGAGTAAAGGCTGCTTGTAACCTAGTTAAACGAGGAATTACAAATTTGGTAGTAATTGGAGGTGATGGTTCTCTAACAGGAGCTAACCTATTTAGACAAGAATGGTCTAGTCTTCTAGATGAACTATTGCAGACTTCACAGATTAATAAAGTTGAACGTGAAAAATATGCACATTTAAATATTGTTGGAATGGTTGGTTCTATTGACAATGATTTTTGTGGTACTGACATGACAATTGGTACGGATTCTGCATTACATCGCATCATGGACGCAATTGATGCTATTGTATCAACAGCCTATTCACATCAAAGAACATTTATTATGGAAGTAATGGGACGTCATTGCGGGTATGATTGTTATTTATAATTATTTTGTAGTTTTAAAAATTGACAATTTTTTAAGAAATTGGGTGATTCTATGACCTTAAAATTTAGTAGATACTAGATAGATGTAACCACAAAGATATTTTAAAGATTTTTGTAATATCTTTTATTGGAAAGAAATGCATTTCTTTGAAATTTATCATTCAATGAATACTTTATTAAATGTTAATGTAAATTATTGAGATCATTTCAAAAAAAAAAAAAAAAAAAATAAGTTGCATAATGTTTATAATATTTAAATGTTATCTCAAGTTTTATAATCTCTTGGACAATTAATTGACTAAATTACTCATTGTAAATAATTAATTATTGAAAAATAATTATTAATTTATTGTGATATCTGGTAATTTTGGTGGCTCATTTATTTGTATAAGCCCACTTTTAATATACATCATGTTTATGTAATTTGTTAAAGGTTGGTATAAAATAAAATTTTATCAATATAATTTTTTTTATAAAACATAAACGATTGATAACATAATTAAATGTGATAATAAGCAAGCAATAAAATAGTTTAAAAAAATTATATTACTATAGTTTTGCATTTTGTTTTAATTGGGTTGATATTAATATAAGTTTTATCTTGATAAAGAGGATTTATTTTCTAAATTTTAGTAGATTAATTCATTGATTTTATAATATTCCTTTAAGTTATTCTAAATAGATATAGTTAATCAAAATTTTGTACTGTAAGGACTTGATTTTCATTTTTGCCAATTACTAATTAATTATATAATAATTAATTTAGATAAGTACTTCATTTTGCAATTTTATAATTTAGAAGTTTTTCAGAAATAAAAATTGAATGTAATACATACATTTTTTATATCCTTATTTTAATACTTATTTATAGTATGTTCATGTTAAGGCATACCACTAAATGTTTCAAATATTTGACCTTATAAAGATGGGGTTTTCAAGAAATGAAAGGGAATATAAAAGTACACATTTTCAGTCAAATTTAAAATTGTTTAATTCTTTCTGTATACACATGCATATTACAACATATTTTTTTAAACAATTTGTATAAGAAGTTTTTTTTTTATTACAAAGTTGGCTAATTGAAATTTAATATCTATGAATAATCTATTTTTGATGAAATTTTAATTGTTCAACTTATACTCAAAAATTGAAATAATATCTTTGATATTGTTAAATGACTATTTGTAAACAGCTAAGTAATTAATGAACATTTTTTTTTTTTTTATGATTTACTTTCATTTTTGCCATTCATACTTTTAAAATGAGATACCTAAATATTGAAAGCAATTAAAATAATAAAAGTTCAAAACAAGATTTATTTATTTGTAATTATTAATTTTAATTTTTAACTAACTAATAAATCGTTCAAATTTTCTACCTTAGTATTCCAAACATATTAAAAATTCTATTGATGTGACGGTATTTATTTAGTCTTTTTTTAAGTTATTAAAACAAAAATATTTTAACAATATCTGACATATTATTTCAATTTTAAAGTATAGGTTAAATAAAGAGTTAAATTTTCATAAAAAACGGATTATTTGTAGATATTATATTTAATTTGCTAATTTTGTAATTAGAAAAAAAAGATATTGAAAATTAAAAAAATAAAATAAATTTGTATTGTGTATGCGCTTATCAAAGATTTGTCTGAAAATGTTTATTTCAGTACTCCATTTCATTTCTCATAATCCCCATTACAATACAAGGTCATCCACTGAAATATTGAGAAGTAATTCTTAGCATGAATATGTTATATGAAATTATAATTTATGTTTAAAATATTGATGTAACTTATGTTATTTTATTCAATTTTTCATTAATACTCAATATTTTATGTTTGAGAATATTTTTAAATAAATTTGAATTATTTTAACATAATATTAATGATATGCATAATTTACTTTTACTTGACAAGTTAAAAATAATATTTATTGAGTTTTTGAAATTCAATAGGTAGTATTATTAAAAATTAAAAGTATAATTAAAAAGTTGTACATTATGTTTATATTTGTGTTGGGTACAACTATAAGTCTATTAATATATCTAGTCTATTTATATAAAATGCTTTTAGATTTGAATACTTGAATTTATGGTTTTAATAATTTAATAAAATGAATTCTTTTGTAAACTGTGGAAGTTATAGAATGATATAAAAGCTCATCATGCTAAAAAAATATTTTAATTTTTAAATGTGACAGAATTATTTTATTTAAGTTTTATATATTATAATACATTCTGTATTAAACTTTACCCAGTTTTTAATCATGGTGTTAGTGATAAGTGATAACCTAATGAACAACTTAAATAGTCATAGAATCACCTAAAATGAGTTTATTTTGTTTTTTAGGTTTTTAAATCTTATCAATATATTAGGGAAATTAAATTAGTGAACTAGCTAAGTCAATTATTGTATTTCAATAGAAATTCATGATAGTAGAAGTTTATTATGAAATATATTGTTTATTGTAGTCTAATAGGTAGCTATAACTAATAGGTAACTCAAATCAAAAATAACCTATTAGTTATTAAGTATCATTAAATTAATTGGACTTTTGCATTTTACTAATTTTATAAATAATATATTATTTTTAATGAGTATATTTTAAATATTTTAGTAGGTAATTGATTGTTTTTGATATTAATAAATTGAGCAGTATTTATAAAATACATTATTCATAAAAAAGAAAAAAAAACCTTTAGTTGTTAATAGAAATTTTTTTATTGATACAATTATTTACTTAACTTTGAAACTGTAAGTAATTGACTTGGCTTTGATTTGCAATTTTTATTTGTTAAAATTGAATTACTTAATAAATAAAAATAATACTTTTCCATATTGAAATTTGGTCTATCTCTTCTTTTTATAACAAAATAAAAGTGATTGAAGTGTTCTTGTTTCAAGTTTAATAACGCCGCTGTTGCATATAAAGGTACCTTGCACTTGTCACAGCCCTCACTAGTGAAGCTGACTACGTGTTTATACCAGAGATGCCACCACCACGTGATTGGCCGACCAAACTTTGCACCAAATTAGAGCAGGCAAGGACTATATTATAGAAAGAAAAACAGTACATGGTCGTTACCTTAACCTGAAATTCTTGCCAACTTCTTCTTGGACATGTATTTACCAACACACCTTTAAATCCATTAACAATCGCTCGCACATTTTGATCTTATAATTTATATTTAATACTAAAGCATGATTATCTCAGTGTTTTATTTTATCTGTCTTTGCGCTTAACTATTTTAAATTTTAAGTTTATTCTCGCCTCATTTGTAGATAAGGTCATAGGAAGCTCACTGCGCAAATACATTTTATTTATAAAGGAAACTGCTCTGATTTGTCTGTGGCTATGTCGCGGGGTGCAGTGTACTGTAGTGGCAAAACCATAATATTAATAATAATAATAAAATATTTACCATTATTTTTTTAATAACAATTATAATTACATGCCTTTCTGTATAAGGCAATTGTTGTTTAATGCAAGGCATTTATTTTATCTTATTGTTTTAAAAAAAAAAATTACAATAAATCTGTTTTAATTTTAGTACCATTGTAATTTGTTAACAAAAAATAGTGCCTTGCTTTAAAAAAAATTCGCTCTGTATAACTCATGTGCATATTATATTATATTCATATGCATTATATACATATATGTATATACTATATAGTATAATAATTTGTATACATGTATTGTTGCCATGTATAATATTGAATTAGTGAATGTTTAGAAATGGTGAGAGTGTGCTATATTAAAAAAATGTGCAGGTATTTAGCTTTGGTTACGGCATTGGCGGCAGAAGCCGATTTTGTGTTCATTCCAGAATGGCCGCCTCACCAAGATTGGGCGTCGAAAATGTGTAAAAAATTGCTACAGGCAAGACTGACTTCTGTTTTACAGCATACAAATATGATGCATGAGTTGTATTAGTCCGCCAGTGTGTTATACTTTATCTTTAAATATTGCATTAATTATTATATGTTATTATACTTGGGTTGTAGTTATATCGTGAATTTATTATTAATCAGTGTAATTTCATTAAATCTGGCTTAGAAATTGTTCATACTCCAAAATGATTATAGAAAATATGTTTTAATTTTTTAAAAGGATTTGGTTACAAATTATTTTATAACTACTGTTATATAAGTCTGACAATTTTGAGGTTTTAATTATTTTTGTCGTTGTTCTTAAAGTAAGGATTTATAAATATTTATATTAAATTTAAAAAATGCACCAATTATAATATTTTATTTTTTGTAAAAACTTGACTATCATACATTTTCTATTTCAACGTTAAAATCATTTAACTTAATAATTTTCATTTGAGATAGTTGATTTATTATATACCTACATCAATTAGTTGAGTTTAGTGTTTAAAATTTTTATTTTTGTTTTTCAAGAATTCAAGCTATTGTTTCTAAATGTAGTTCATGTTATATTTTTGACGTATCAAATTATAACATTAATTTAACCATTATTCTATAGAGTATCTAACAATTATTTTGACCTAAATTTTATGAATCAAATAATTATTGTGATGAATAATGATCATTGATCTGTGATCATAATAAATTCATAAGTTATTTTATGTAACAATGAATTATTGTGTAAGTGACTTGGATTGATTGTGGTATGTTTTGTCAATTATGACTTTAGATATATTGTGTAAAACTGTACGAGAAAGAGTAATCATTATTTTAAGTGTTCATTTATGCATGCATTAGTTTGGACAAGGATGGCAAAGTTTTATAATTTAGTTATAAAAATATTGTACTTGAGTTTAGTTTTTTATATGTTAGTTGTATAAAAAAATGCAGTAGGAGTATAAAATAAATATCAAGTATAATACACACATATAAAAATGTATTTTTTTTTTTTAATATACTGGTACGTTTTAAAGGGTTTTATCATATTTCATATTTTTTATCATATAATTTTGTTAAGTAGATTGTCTGTCGAATAATCAATTAACGATTATTGTTAATTTAAAACTAAAAAATTAAATATATTATAATTGTTTGGAATCTTAAATTATTATGTTATAAGGCCTGTTAGTAATTTATAAAATATTCGCCATCCCTGGTATAGAATTATATTTTACTAACTAGGAGTATTTTTGCTTTGCAACTCATTTATATTTGATAATATACATTTTTGATCTCAATAGTGAAGGGAATTAAAAATTGTGATGTTTTGTGTGTGCCTGTGTCAAACAAAGATCCCAAATATAAATTTAGACGTATTCTATTTCTGACGTACCTACTTATTCTTTAACAAATCGATAAGAATTCTGATAACAAACGTTATTTGAAATCAACTTTTTAGTGTTATCTCTCTAGATTCTAAAATAGAAAAAATTTTAAATTTTTCATGTTTCAATTTTGGATATAAATTAAATGTGAGAAAGTCGATCTCTGGTAAACTTAACTGCAATATGTTCAAATCAAATGTTTTTAGAATTCTTATCGTTTAATTAAATCAATTGGTACCTACGTTGGAAATACAACACATCTAAATTCCTATATATGTAGTGCATGTTAAACAAAGATTGACAATTATTATTGCTTTTATAACTAATCACTTTAATAACCTTATTGGCAATAGGTATACTTACTAGTTAATATTTGTATTACGACTATTTATTGATAATTTCCATTTAGACGCTTAAATATTATAAATCATCACTAAAATGATTAAGGCTGTCTTGAGATAATACGAATAGCTTAATTTATTAAATTTATAGAACTAGTTGTTATAATTCAATTATCACTTTATAATTTTTATAAATTTAGTTTAATTTTTTTTTTTCATAATTTCACGCGCTTACGTATTTTTAACGCATATAACTTTAATTACCCCTTACCTATGTCTTAATTCGGCACTAACCATAATAATCATATAAAACGCGAATAATATGATTACTAGTCATCGATTCTAAGCTTTTGTAAATTGTAATTAAAAAATAAATAATGTATAAAATTTGTTTAATGAACAAAATAAGGGTATTACATAATTATTGACTATGATTTATCTTCGTTTTTGACAATATAGAATATATTTGACATTAAATGCTATGTTTACTTTCATACTTTTCAAAAATATTTTTTCGCTTGCATGTTAAAAAAACGAAAATAATTTTTTTAAATAATTTTCTAGAGATACTAGAGATAACAATTAACAATAGTAAATAAATAAATCTTTGGTTTTAATTGTTATGTATCGTATAGGAATTTACCATTTCTTGTATTTTTTAGGCTTAACCGTTAAAGTCCATTTATCGATTCCGGAATTATTTGAACCACATACATTAATATGAAATTTTCCATTTTAAAGTTACCTTTAATAAAGACTGTATGATAATACGTAAATAATGCTGCTTATACGACTATAATAATTCTAATAAATGTTTCCTATTGTATTTTTTGAGTTCATTTTCATTAGTCTCATGAAAATAGAAAAACATTTTTCTTGCGACAACAATATATGTAAACCTAATCAATTATCACTTTGGCTGCTGTTTATCATCATCCTTGTAGAATGTTGATAGTTGTTGCAATGGGGCCTATGTACATTTTTCCATTTAATTGTAGTGCGTGACGAAATCTTTTGTAATAATTACTAAGTTACTAGATGTTGTTAAATTATTGTTATTGAAAGGTGAAAACCGTTCAATTTTCGAAAATTTAACAAATAATGTTTATGCATATTGATGGGTGCCTAGTAAATTGGGTGTATTCCTAAAAATAAACACCTTGCTGGTGGATGAAAATTTTCTTATTTTGAGCTTTGCGAACGAGCTTTTGGGATATGACATGCGTCATTAGACTAATTTTTCAGTTATTATTAATATTCATGTTTATGTATATTTAGGAACGGACGGCGGGACAGCGTTTGAACATCATCATCGTGTCTGAAGGCGCTATTGACCGTGACGGGCAACCGATCACTGCCGAGATGGTGAAACAAGTAGTAGTCGACAACTTGAAACAGGACACGCGAATCACGGTCTTGGGTCATGTCCAGAGAGGAGGCGCCCCATCAGCTTTCGATAGAGTTTTGGTAAATATACACAATATTATTAATTTGTATTAGGATGATTACAATAAACTACAGGAGGTGGAAAGGGCTGAAATTTTATGTGGTTTAGAATATTATTTTTAATTACCCACGGAAATAATCTGACAATATATATAAATAATTGTAAGTATCCATTTACTATTTATTACTCAATAATTAAAAAAAAAATATATAGATTTTTTATGGTGAGAATTCACCATGTTTTATTTCATTAACCTAGTATACAATTGCCTAAATCCGGCATTTTTGATGCTTTTTTTTTAGTTCTTCCTTTCCCTAATAATTTATTAAAATACAGAATCTCATCAGATGGTTTAAAGTTGTAAGCGTCTGTCATTATGGTAATGTCAAATGACGCATTTCCTAGAATTTCGAATGTTACCTAATAATAAGTCACGTCATTCATATAATCATGTAATATAGACCCGTAGTTTTCAACCGTTGTGTCGCCGATTAAGTCCAAATGTGTCATGTGAAGTATTAATATTAAATGATACAACATTTTTTAAACAATTAATGAGCAAAAAAAAAAAGAAGGTTTATTTTAAATTGTATCTATGGGCTGCCTGGGTTAGTGTGTCACCATTTTCAAAGATCTAAATTAGGTGTCGCCATACAAAAAAGGTTGAGAACCACCAGTATAAACAGTATAGTATCTATTATTACGCCAAGTTATATTATATTTGTGGTTATTATGACATTTTTTTTCGTTCCAGGGGTGCAGAATGGGAGCCGAAGCCGTTATGGCCTTAATGGAAGCTACACCAGAAACAGAGGCTTGCGTTGTGTCGTTGGATGGCAACCAGGCGGTCCGTTTGCCACTGATGGAATGCGTTGAAAAGACCAAAGCCGTTGCCAAAGCGATGGCGGACAAAGAATGGGAATTAGCCGTGCAACTCAGAGGAAGGTAAAACTTCTATACAGCATCAATTTACCCGAATAACAAGATGGTGTTATTTTTAAACGTTAAACCATTGACGTAAAACAAACAAGTATCTACTCAAAATACCACGAGTATACTGATTTCTGTTAGCCTGTTTACCGTTTTATGGTTTTAGAAAAGTTAATAACTGTAATTCCTGTTTAAATAACCGATGTATTGATAATTTTTATGTTAACAATTATCAATAACACACTAAAAATAACGCAAGGCAATATGTCAAATAAAAAAAAAAAATTAAAAAAAATATACAATTATGAAATTATTGGCATCTAGGTTGTGTTTGGCTGTTTGACGAATTCATCGATATGGCAGTATATCGCAATCCTAAGTGCCAAATAATGAAATAAATAAAAACTAAAAAAAAGTTGTCAAGCTGTTCTGCTGTGTGTAGGTATTGAATATATTTCGTTAATGAGAAGGTCACCATAATTCTTAGCAGAGCAATGAATGTATTAGTTATAGATACAATAAAGGTTTTTTTTATTTTTTGTGTCTTATGACATTTTTTTAGTGTGAACAAATGCTCTGAATCATCTATTTCAAGAGATGTTTCTGGTATGATCTGGTTTATATTTTTGATCAAAAGTGTATATATATATTTTATTAATTCTTTCAATAATTAGGGAAAACACACAAAAAACTCCAACATTTTTTTCATTGTAATATTTAATATTAAAATAAATATTTTGTAGTTAAGTTTTGATTATTAAAAATTTAAATTGTCTCTGTTCAAAATTGTTTTTGATCATGTATAATGATTTATCATTGAATTTAAACTTAACCTATCTATCATTGTCTACTCAATAACAATACTTAATCATTTTATTTGTTTTTTCCAAACATTGTTTTGGACTGGAAATGGGATGAACCCCTAATTAAAAATTAAATTAAATTTTCTAATAAAAAAAATAATAAAAATAAAAATATAAAACCAAAACATTGTATTTAAAAAATATGTATATTCTGCTTTTATTGAACAATATACCAATTGATTTGCTTAAGATCGCCACTTATAATATGTTTTAAAAACTGTATGAACTGTGGAACAATATTTATTCTATAAATGAATTATTTATTAATACTTAAATTGTTTTTTTCAGGAGTTTTGCAAGAAATTTAGAAACATACAAAATGTTAACACGATTGAAGCCTCCACGTTCAGCATTTGATGAATTGGGACGTGGATTGGTAAGTTAACCATTATTTGATTCAATTATTTTAATCTTAATGAAATTCCCATATTTTTTTTATTAATTTAAACAATGTTATTTGATATTTTTTCCATGAATCCTTTAGAGTCTAAATCGAGTAAGTAAATTGATTTTCCAATTTGTTGTGCAATATATTATTATTGCAAGCATTACACACATACAATAAAAAAATCACACTAAAATTATTGTTTTTTATATAATAGCAAGACACACTGTGGGGTCAGGTAAGATGGCTTATGGTGGAGTAATGATATTTTTGGAATATTTTGATTTTTAAGCTTTATAACGCCTATAATGCGTAATTTATGATTAAAAATTTATAGAAAAAAACAATAATTATTTAAACATTTTATCAAATTATTATAGAAATTGTTATTTAAATAGGTATTAAAGTTTAATTAGTGTTTATTATTTATTTGAGTGTTTTGATTGGGCTTATATTATAACGCAGATTTTTTATTTACAGTGATTTTATCAGTATTTTTCATTTTATAAATGAAACTCAATTATGGCATATTAATGATTTTGAATCATTGTCAATTACAGGAAGGTTATACTCTTGCTGTAATGCATATTGGAGCTCCTGCTTGTGGTATGAATTCTGCTGTACGTTCGTTTGTTCGGAATTGTATCTACAGAGGCGACACTGTTTATGGTATTCATGATGGTGTAGAAGGTTTAGTTGCAGGAAATGTGAGTATATTATTAAGTAATTTTAGTTTAATTATAATTTCAAATGACTATTTAATTGCTTAGATTCAAGTAATGCAGTGGGCCGATGTTACTGGCTGGGTTGGACAAGGTGGTGCTATGTTGGGTACTAAGCGTACTCTTCCTGAAAAAAGAATGCCAGAAATTGCTGCTAGGCTCAAAGAGTTTAACATCCAAGCACTTTTGATAATTGGTGGCTTCGAGGTTAGTAGCTTTCTCTATAATTATAAGTACTTTTAAATAGTTTGAAATTTATATTAACTTAACTAATTTAGGCTTATCAAGCTGGAATTCAATTAGTTCAGAACCGTAAAAATTTCCCAGAATTCTGCATACCAATGGTTATAATACCATCAACTATTAGTAACAATGTGCCTGGTACAGAATTTTCATTAGGTTGTGATACTGCTCTAAATGAAATCACTGAGGTTTGTAATTTTATTTAAATTCTCCTAAAAAAATTTGTATCACAAATATATTTTATTTATTATTGCTCTTTATATATTTGTATAGCCTATACTATAGTTTGTTATTTTATTTTAGATTTGTGATAGAATTAGACAGTCTGCTCAAGGTACTAAGCGACGTGTATTTGTTATTGAAACTATGGGAGGTTACTGTGGATATTTAGCTACTGTTGCTGGTTTAGCTGGTGGTGCTGATGCAGCTTATATATATGAAGAAAAGTTTACCATAAAAGATTTGCAAAACGATGTATATCATATGGCTTCAAAGATGGCAGAAGGTGTTCAACGTGGTTTGATATTAAGGTTAAAATTTAAAAAAAAAAAAAAATATATCATTTATTAAATCTTAAAATTGTATTTTTATTTTTAGGAACGAAAAATGTAGTGAAAATTACAACACTGACTTTATATTTAGACTTTACACTGAAGAAGGAAAAGGATTATTCAGTACTCGTATGAATGTTTTAGGTAAAATCCATAAAATATTATGTTAAATTGTGTAATAAAATAGTTAAAATCAAAAATTAACTTGATTTTTAATTGGCCTTGTAAATTTTCATTATAAATGTACCTTTCTAGGTCATATGCAACAAGGTGGTTCACCTACTCCGTTTGATCGTAACATGGGTACGAAGCAAGCAGCAAAATGTGTGGAGTGGTTAGTAGAAAAATTGAGAGAATCTACTAGACCAGATGGAACAATTTATACAGATAATCCTGATACAGCAGCAATGATGGGTGTAATAAGACGGCAGTATCGTTTCACACCTTTAACTGATTTATTGCCTCTCACCAACTTTGAGTAAGGACATTTTTTTTTAATGATTTTTATATTTTATTAGTATAAAATTTCATTTGAAAATTTAACAAATTATTGAAATTATTATGTCAACTGAAGTGTAGGTTGTGAGAAGGAATTTTCATTTTAATATTTTTATATGTTTATAAAATTAATTTATGTTACATTTTAATTAAATAATTATTTAATTGGTTATAAACTTATAATTTATAATATAGAGTGAATATTTTAAAATGAAAATAGTGTTTAAAGGTCATTGTAATAATGACATTTAACTATGAAATTTTGAGATAAGAATATTTTTTTTTTAAAGGAATGTTAATAATAATTAATAAGCTAATGTTTTGCTAGGGTTATATGATTGTCTTTTTACTTATGCTTAATACAAATTTAAATTTATAAATATAGTTTTAAAAGTGAAAAATTATTTTTGTTTATAGGCAGCGTATAGCTAAGACTCAGTGGTGGTTGAAATTGAGACCACTCTTACGTATACTCGCTAAACACGATAGTGCATATGAAGAGGAAGGTATGTACATAACAGTTGAAGAAGGACTTGAAGCAGATACATTGTTGGTTTAAACAAATACTTTACTGATTATATATGTTTTTACTGTAACTGTTATTTTTATCCGTAGAATGTGCAAGTATAATATTAATAATAATGACTAAATTTAAATTAAAAAAAAAAAACCATTTAATTAATATTTATTATAGTTTATACATTAGTAAATACTCTAGTCATCAAGTGTAAAGTAGGTAATACTTTTATCCTCAGCAAATTATTTACCAATATTGAAACTATTATAATAATGTTTGTTAACTACGTTTAAACTGTTTTTTAGATAAATATTTGTGTTTATCAGTACAATGCTATCTAGTTTGATGTTTAAACGAGATAATAAATATAAATAAATATTATTTAATGTAACCAATTAATTTGTTGTTAAAGTAGTTAATTGTTTTCCAAATATTTCTTATTATATACAAATATCTGATACTACTACTTAACATAAAAAAGCATTAGCTATTTTAGATTAGGATTTTTTTTTTTTATTGTAAAATTTAATCATATCATTTTAATGCTACAAGTTTTAAACAAAATAAAAATTACACTGTTCAATACAAACTAAATGTGATTTCAAATTTTTTTTCTTGTCCTCTTTTAACTATCTATCCTTAAGATAAAAACAATGAACTGAAAAATAAAAAAAAACAAAACATAAAACTACACACCAAAAAATATGTTTATAGAAATTTATGATATTCCTAAGATTTAATAAGATATATTTATGCATTGTGTATAATAAGAAAATTATTGTTGACAAATACTATTTTTAGTGGATTATGCTACTATGTTTATTATAATTTAAAACTGTTATATATAACAGTTATATTCAGTGGCGTATTTTCAATTTTCTTGTGGGGGGGGGGTCTTAATATTAAATACAGGTTTATAATATTATAATAAAATACATACGAGTTATGATTTAATAATGATATTATTTATATTATATTATATTTCACTATTATTATGAAAATAAATGTCAATTAATAGTTTTTATAGTAAAAAAGGTAAACGTCTTTTTTTTTTTCGCCAGTTCTTCAATAACTTCCTCAATAACCTAACTAAAATCTGTTTTATTTTGTATATCATCAACTTTTTCTTGTATAGGTAAAACATTTATAGTAGATTTGAAAAAAGACTGAATATTGGGTTGCTTTTTAGAAGTCATAATTGTGATCTGTTTAGAATAATATCATATAAAATATATTAATATAAGTATTAGTATTATGTATACCTAATGTATTTTTATTTTACACTTTACATTAAACAATATTGTTTGTAAATTAAATCAATTAAAAATTAGAAATTAATAGTTACCTTACGTCCTTATTTTCTTGTTAAGTGTTCGTCGTTCGTATATTCGAAAAACGTGATTATATTATGTCGATGCCGTCAATAACAAATTGCAAATGCCAAATATTTGAAATATTATTAATATCAAACAATCGCAGACTGTCTACTATAGTTTATAAATTATAATAGACAGCATACTAATATAATTATACATAGGTATATTACGTCGTTATCGTCGTCGGATGGTGACGACGCGATAAAAAAATAACCAAAAGTTATTTTTAAGAATATTGTAATACAAACATTAAAAACACATAATATAAATTAATATTATTTTTCTCGTTACCACGTAGCAAGCTATTTATGATTTTTTTCTGTGGGGGGGGGGCGAGACCCGGGACCCCCCCCCCCCCCCGTAAATACGCCACTGGTATTTAACTATTATTTATTATCATATATAAAGTGATTACTTGAAAATATGATATGTATACATATGTATTCAAAGCAAAATGTACATGTATAAATCAAATATTATCAAAATAATTTTGTTAATTACATTTAAAATGTAATATTTTGGAACACCAACATTAAAAAAGTAGGCAAGTGGATACTGCTCTTTTGTACATTAGTAAGTCACTATTATGGGTATGTTAAATTCATTAATATTTATGTGCAAAAAATAATTTTGAGTGGAAATGATCACTAATTACATTTTGTTATTTGTTTTTTGATAAAGCTATTAAATTCATTTATTTTACTTTTAGTAATACAGTAGGCCACCAGATACCACCCTCATTTTGATATATAAGCATTTTTATTGTTCCAATATGTGATGACTTACAGAAAAATAAAACACATCATTATAAACTATAAAATCAATACAAAATTATTAGGTATGTGTATTGTGTCAAAACTGTAAAATATATATCTATTATTTTACATAAATTTATTTCACAGGGTTTATACTCCAATAACCTATAATAAATAATAGAATGAGATGAGAAGAATGAGTGAAATTTAATTTTTAAACTATACTTTAATTTAAATTATTGATGACATAAGTCATCTACACACAGTGCGTTGTCTATTATTTAAAATGTCAAGTTGGTTAAGTATTTATAGCTTGGTACTGTGTAAACGTCAAACGCTAACGTATAAATTAGAATAGATAATTTAAATCTTAGATTACTGTGAGAATACTGTATACTTAGAAGCTTAAAATACTTATTTAAAAAACACAAACTGTGCCATTCAACCATTGTGTTTTGGCAAACGTTTATGATCGATCGACTTTACTAGTCTATCAAACTTCTTTTCTCAAAATCTGTCAATACTCAATAGTCAAGTACCTACGTAAATATCTATGGAAAAATATAAATAGGTATACATGACACTTATCACTTATTACTTACACACATCCAATAATGCCTAAAAATACCTGTATGGCACGATCTAAGATAATACTATCTTTATTCTTTAAATCGTGCTGTATTATTATTTGTTTGAAATATTTGTATAGTAGTCAGGAAACTTGTGTACCTAATGAAGATCTTAGTATAAAAAACACTCATGTACAAACACTGTATAGAAACCTATAAATGGATGCAAACACGTCATTATTCAATTTTATTCTCAAGTTTCTTCGTAGGTCGACTAATCATGTTTTTGGAGCTAAAAAAATAAAAACTCGAATTACGAAACATCAAAAAAATATTTATCGCGAAAGTTTCTAGGAAAGACGTAAACTAAATTATCTCATGTATAAAATAATGATGTTTGTCGGTCTCATAACATCATACAAAATATGCACCATTGTACCCATACAATTTGCAATAATGTTATAGGTACCTACTTACTTAAATTATAATGTATTATACCTACAGCTCAAACTAGAGTTCTCGGATTTGAATGTGAATTAAGATTTACCCATCATCTTTGGCGTCCGTAATAATTAATGTTTACGGTCGATTTAACAACGACTGTGAGTTTCTAAAACGTATAAGGATGTATTCAATTGAATACAGAATTAAGCGTTTTCTGTGTTATTATAAAATTGCATAAAAATCCCGCTGGACATTGTCAAACGAATACCTAATTTAAATTTTTTCACGTCAGTCATAAGTTATTCCTATTATAAAATTACTGATGATCATGATAATATAATTAATTAATTATGATTTACCTGGGAAATCTACGTTTTCTGAAACAAAAACATCTTTTATTATATATATATAAATATGCAAACATCGACTAAAAAAAATAAAAAAATAATGATAACTCACATAGATTTGAATGTCATTTATCTTGACTTATATATTTGTCATTTGTGAGGGCATAAGGGAGGGGGAGGGTCGTTTACTATGCATAAATCCATAATATAATAATTGTTGTATTGAGTCGTCGAGGTTTATCCGACCAAGCAACAATTCGTTTTCATCGTACTTATCTAGCTATAATGGTATAATAGGTACACTTGTCCGCAAAACCGCGTTTACTATTTTTCATTTGTACGATTCCTGGTGTAAATACGCATAAACGTTTGAACTTTAAACCCATATAATCGGCACATCTTAGACTGGAGGTCACCAAATGGCGAACCACAGTAAAGAATAAAAAATAACATATACTTAATTATATATGAAAAAATGTTTTCATTAGGTACATTCAATTTTTAAATAATATCTATTATAATATGTTAAAAATATATATGTATTTATATTTTTGATGGCCCGCAAAAAATGTTCAGATTCCTAATGTGACCCTTCAAGAATATTAATTGGTGACCCCTGTCTCAGACCATCGTGGACATTAGATACCCAATCTGGCTTTTGTAGACGAACATATTCAAACTGACACAATAACACGGGGGCGCATGTGTAGAATTTTCTCTAGGAGGATATGAAATAACTTTTTAGTGCTTACATAAAATTATTAAAATTATATAATTACCTAATTATAGTCCTCCAAAAATTGAGTAATATTTTTATGCTGGTGCGCGCGCCTGGTCTCCTAGCCAAAAATAGTTTTTCATTGAAAAATAAAATTGGATATACCTAGTTATTGCAATCTTTTAATTTCAGTTACTCTGTATAAGGAATTTTATAATAATGATAAATTGATGAATGAAAATTATAAATTACACTCTTATTTATATAAAATAAATTACAATCGATTATGTATAGGCATATAAATATGTATACTTTATCAATGGTAATTTCACTCACGATTCAAAGGATAACAGAGTTATATGTAACAACTATACTGTTATATCGAGTCTTAAAAAAAAGGAGGTAAGGGAAAGAATATATCCTCCACAAATACACCACTGCAATCACAAATGCCGTATGAGACATTGGTAGTGTAAAAAGTTTGGCATTCCGAAGCGAAACGGACGATATGGACGGTAAAGTTAGAAATAATATTATACTTAATAGCTAATAGTATATGAAGTGAATTGATAGACTTCATTTGTTGTGTTGTCTTTCTGATGTAAAAATATAATAAATAATAATAATTTAGTGTGCCACGGAGCGAGCGACTGAGTACCGTTTTACATGTCCTGTTAGTTTATGTATATGTCATGGGATGCTGTCTTTGAATGTAATCAAACTATAAATTGCAGCATGATTCAACTATACACACGTCGTACATGAGACATTACTGACATACGATTAGTTAATAAAATTATTATTCTTATAAATAACATTATGCATTATAATGTAGTAATCTATAATATATAATTAACTTTGTTAAATTTTAGTGTTATTAAATTAGTTTGAATGATATATCAGATAATGTGTACGTCATTACAATATAATTGAACTAATTAGATGGAAATATAGAAATAATAAATTAATCCATACAAATTCTTTGGGAATATTTAATGGAACTTTTAACGTACCATAAAATTGGTTATGTTATTATCAGTTCTATACTAAAGAATAATAGAGGATTTAAAGATAATCTAATTAAACAACACATTTTAATATATATTTTTTTTAAATATTATATTTTTGATAAGTTGAAATAAAATGTACTGTTAAATTGAAGTTTATTTCTTTAATTAATTTTAGTATCTGTAACTGTCTGGTTTGTATGGCCCTTCAATTGGTATTCCAAGATACTTAGATTGGTCAGGAGTGAGCTTGGTCAACTTGACACCCAAATGGTCCAAATGTAAAGCTGCTACTTCTTCATCTAATTTCTTAGGTAATACATATACATCATTTTCATATTGTCCTGTCTTGGTAAATAATTCAATTTGAGCAAGAACTTGATTAGTAAAAGAAGTGCTCATAACAAATGATGAATGCCCAGTAGCACAACCTAAATTCACCAATCTTCCTTGTGCCAAAAGAATTATGTGTCTGCCATTGGCCAGAGTATATCGGTCTACTTGAGGTTTGATGACAACTTTATCAACAGCATTTTTTTCCAACCAAGTCACGTCAATCTCACAATCAAAATGACCAATATTACATACAATAGCATCATCTGGCATATTTGGGAAGTGTTCACCAGTTATAATACCTTTGCAACCTGTTGTTGTTACATATATTTGTCCCTTTGAACAGACTTCTTCCATAGTGGTTACTTCAAAACCAGCAATGGACGCTTGAAGTGCATTAATTGGGTCGATTTCAGTGACAATAACACGACCACCAAAAGCTTGCAATGACATAGCACATCCTTTGCCAACATCACCATAACCAGCAACAACACAGACCTTTCCTGCTATCATAATATCTGTTGCACGTTTCACACCATCAATAAGGGATTCACGACAACCATATAAGTTATCAAATTTACTTTTTGTAACTGAGTCATTTACATTAATAGCTGCCATCTTTAAAATACCTTGTTTTTTCATTTTGTATAGATTGTGAACACCAGTGGTTGTCTCTTCAGATACTCCTTTGATTCCATCCAAATACTGGGGGTATTTCTCATGTACCAGTGTGGTCAAATCTCCACCATCATCCAAAATCATATTTAAAGGTTTACCATCGGCAAACACTAATGTTTGTTCAATGCACCATAAGTACTCTTCTTCAGTTTCACCTTTCCAAGCAAACACAGGGATTCCAGCTTTTGCAATTGCTGCAGCTGCATGATCTTGAGTACTAAATATGTTACAGCTAGACCATTGTACTTCAGCACCTAGTTCAATTAGAGTTTCAATGAGGACAGCTGTTTGAATAGTCATATGAAGACAACCAGCTATACGAGCACCCTTGAGAATTTTGAGTGGGCCATATTTTTTACGTAAAGACATTAAACCAGGCATTTCTTTTTCGGCTAAAATAATTTCTTTACGGCCCCATTCAGCAAGAGATAAATCTGCAACTTTAAATTTGTGGGTGACTCCGTTTTCCATTTTTCTTTTTTTTATTGAAGCTATTTTGAATGTTTGATATATCTACAAAAACAAAATAGATACTTAAATTTAATCTTAATATTATGATTAATCACAGTTACAGATTTTGGGTTATACATTTTTGAAAAATAACTTTTATGCTAAAGAAACATGAATTTAAAAGTATGGATATTTTTAATAACTGGTTAATTATTCTATGCATATATTAATACGTACATAATTTTTTTTTTTGTATTAATAATTTAGCCAATATAAACAATAGGGTAAAAAATAAATAAATTACTGGTAAAGTATTATCAAGTTGAGATGTGACATAAAATATTTTACATGACGTATGTTGTTATTAAGGCAGGTAAATATGAAAATAGGAATATAGCAGTGCCATCATCAGTATAGTAAAATAACATTTAGAAAACATGTTTACTAGTTGGTCGGATAATATAACACAGCGTTTCCCAAACTGTGGTCTGCAGAAGTAAATTTAAAATACTATATTACATTATTTATTATTGGTTTTTTAATTTTTATTTTTATTAAGGGAGTTTGCAATTAATTTTACTATCTCTAAGGGATCTGGCAGATAAACAGCTTGAGAAACGCTGATATAACATATAAAAATCAATAACCTAACTTTATATAATAAAATAAAATGTTAATTATTTTTTCTCATTCATATATAAATACATCAAAAGACAATGTTTACATGTCTGTAGTTTTATAGAATAAAAAACTAAGATATGAAATACCTATTTAATTTTTCCATTGAAAAATATTTGTAAAAATAAAATGAGAAGAAATATAAATGTCAATACTGAACTGTGTGTGATAAGATACTAAATTTTAAGCAATATTTTAGAGTATGTTGATCTTACAACTATTAATGTTTTTTTGATTAAATATAGACTAATGACAATAGTTATCATAATAAATATCTAACATCATTAAATTTTACTATAAATAAAATCTTATTTTTTTCTGATATTATTAATTATGTTTCTAACAGAATTTACCAACTCATCTATCATTGCTATTGGTATTTTTTTAACATATAAGCTAATAATAAATGAATATTACTATCTAACCAGTTTTTTTTTTTGTTTGGTGATAGGCACTAAGAGTTCTTGTTATTTCATGATTGATAGAATTACGTTCATGTATTAATGACATTTATACCTATATATAACAGTTGTAATTCTTAGTAACACTTTCGAAATTTTTAGTTAGAATGTTTACTGTGATTTTTATAATAATTCTTAATTGATTTAATAAAATATGTTTCCAGAAAATTATTAGTTACATATGAAATACCATTATTAAAATTTTACTTAATTATAGTAATTTATCAAGATCCACAAACAAAAAATATTTCTAAGGTAGGTAAAATTTTAAATATTTTATAGAAATATAGGTACTGAATACATTACAATAATTAGATATTAAATTATATTTATATTTTATTTTAATATTTCACAGGATGATTCAACAAGTTTAGTATACTTAGTTCCCTTTAATCCTTTAATGTTGTATTGATAAATATACTATATTTTTAATTTTTAGAAACTTAAAATTTTTTATAGGTACCTACCATATTTCAAGGAATGTTTTTTAACAATATAAAATCTTTTTTACTAAAATTTGTTAAGTATATAATTTTTTTTTAAACATTCAAATGCAACTTAAATTTGAACAAGAAGTTTTTATGTTATAAACCTTTTATAATAAGGGCGATAATATAATAATAATCCTCAATAATGATACAATATAAAATAGAAAATAGAAGTAATAATTAACATTCACCCTAGTACTTGGTATGCACGGCCAATTTTTATTAATCTTAACATATTAACTTCCTTGTCAAATTATTATAGCTACCATGACTTTAAACCTAATATTATGAAATATTATGTTTAGTACATATATTTTAATAATCTAGAAAGCAGAAACTACCAAAACAAATCTCAATTTTTATAGACATCTACATCAACATTTTTTATCTATGGCTCAGGCTGAAGTTAAGGCAGAGATTGAACAATGATTTAACTGTTTATGTGTGACTAAAAATCAAAGTACATTTGTATATATGAAAGAAATTAATATTAAATGAAGAACAGACGATTAGGCTTAAATTATATAGATTCATGGTGGAATATTGTATGCTGTAGAGTTTCACTTAAATTGGTATATTTCATACTACTCATTGAACCAGTGATTTAAAATAATTTTCAGTAATTTGGATTCTAATTTCAAATATACAACAATAATAAAATTAAATATGTAAAATGTAAACATATATATGAATACTAATTATAAATAACCAGATGGTTATTTTCATTAATATTGTCCGATACACAATACTCGCGACAGTGATTAAATATATATAAAAATAATAATATAAAACTATAAAATACTTACACGATTCAAACGCGAATGAAAGCCGGAGTATCGGACGATTGCGTGGAGACTTGAAAAATTAAAGTGACTAGTTAATGGTAAGTGGTTTACACCGTGGAAGATAAATTGAGTAAAAAAAAATTACACGTCTCGTTTGGAATGGACCAACTAACGGCTTTTAGGGATGGCGTGATGATATTTAATCGTTATTGCTCCAATGATCGCAATAACCTCATGCGTCGCGCGCGTCTGTGTGAAAGAAAGAAAGAAAGACCGACGAAGACGAACCAGCAGGTTTGCGTCACGATCGTATTATCTCTTATTATTTGATAAAATATTATACATATAATTGTTATTGTATACCGTTTTGTGATTTGTGTTTTGGACCGCGTAACTATTAAAACATCGATAGTGCAATCAATAGTAGTACGGCGGGGAAAATATATTTCGTACGGTTGCTCGGTAAATTAATAGATTATCGTTTCTGACTTGTTCGGAAAATCGGTAGATTTCGTTAAAAAATAAATAATTTATTGATGTTGATAATTATTAATAATAATATTTATGTCGAAAGTCGCGTGACTCGTGACTCTTTATTCTTTAATCATAGCCAAGCTCAGATATTATATTCGTGACCAATTGTGAGGCAAAGACATCAAGTACATTATCAGCTGTGCTGTTATCACTACTAGCTATCTGTCTTACATTATATTTTGTATTTTTGTTTTCGCCAAAAACACCGATTTGGAAATAATACAATAATGTAAATTTCAAACGCAAACGTTTATTGACGACATAATAATATCGGCATTCAGCAATCGTGTCAAAGCTGAGTCCGATTCAACTTGTCAGCCGCTGCTAGCGTCGGGCTGCATAAGATGAAGTTCATGATCAGCACGTCTCGGCGCTATGCTGCTACCAGTTGCAAATTGTTAACTTTTGAAAACAACACATACAAAAACTGTCGATTTTTCAGGTATGACGGAAAAGCGGATCACTCGTTAAATCTTTCATCTTCTGCAGTATTGTATGACAGTAATCTCTCCGTCCATCCATATACTGGTTGGATATTGTATTTGATAGTATGGGTTTATCAATTTGGGTTAGATCTATTTAAGCATAACTCTACAATCTACCTATTAATTTTGATTTTGTTTCTGCTTTTGCATTCAAATATGGTTGGTGTTTGGCAATCATAACAATTTTTTTGAAGTGATAGGTACTAAACTGTTTTTGTTGAGAAATATTAATCTTTAGCCAAATATTTTATCATACCTTGTTATGTAGGAACATTATTTTAAAATACCTACTACATTTAGTACAACTATGTGAACACTTTTTTATATGTCCACACAATAATACACCTACCTACTCTCTGCCTTAAATATAGTTTCTTCTTTAAACATCTATTAATGAAATGTGCCAAGTTAAAAATATTGTAATAGTTCTAGACTTTGACAATATAATGTTTGAATTCTTCACTAGTACTCTATACTTAAATATTTTTATGTATTTTATTCAATAATTTTGTTGGATAAAAGCACTCTATGATTGCTGTCTTTATATTTATTTTTGTTCTTTTCTTAATTTATTCAATTTCTAATTTAAATAGAATAATTTCAATCTTGAGTTCTTAAATATTTAAAAAAAAAAAAAATTAGTAAACATTTCTTACTATAAAAAAAGTTATAAAACTATCAAATAGAAGAGTTTTAAGCTTTCAAAACCTATACTCTTTACTGACTAGAATTTTAATGATCGTTTTCTTTTTTATACCTTTGATATTTATGAATGGCTCATTTAAGTTAATATAGGTTATTTGATAATGTTAAGCTTCTAGTTGTACTAATAAAAATATATAACAATAAATAATTAATAAGTATTAGAATATTATTATGAACGCTCAAATAATTATTTAATTGGTCCACTTTTACATTAAACATAATAATTTAGAATATATATTATTATTTAAATAAGCTTTAAATTTATTTTTAGGAATTCAGTAGTTTTGCAGTTACCAAGCAAGGAACCATTGAAAACAGATGCAAAACCTTCAACAGTTCCGCCCTATATAAGTGGCAATAGTGTTGATAATGCTAATCAATGTTTACAATCTACTGAAAAGAAAAATGCATCTTTAAATAATACTGTTGTTAAGCATGATAATAAATTAGACAATAAACAAAATATGGATGAGACAAAGATCTTAAACGATAATAATTTCACAATGCGACTAGTTAATAGGATTGAAAATTGGTCACCATCTACTGCAAAGTATGCAAGACTGAGTGTTTTTGGTTGTAAAGTAAGAAATTTACTGAGTGGACTATAAATTTTATTTTAAATTCAAACATATGTTTCTTTTTTATTTTAGTATCTATACAAAGATGTTCTAGTTTTACTGTCAGCATATAAAAAATATTACAGTTCTGATTTGTCATCCTTAACTTATGCTGAGTTGGAGTTGAAATATAGGTTGCCATTACAACTGGTTCGTTTGACACCAATTCTAATTTTTTGGCCTGTACCATTTACTAATTTGTTTTTGTTTCCATTAGCGTAAGTAAAAATCTATTTATTTTAAAATTATACTATTATCTTTTGATTCAAAAAATATAGTTCTAGGTTTATTAGAATTTTAGTCTTGTTTTATGTATAATAATAAAAACAATAGTCTTCAACATTATTGGTATTATAATTTTTATTTTTTAATTTAATTATTTAATTTTAGGTTCATGTTTCCTAAGTATTTATTATCTGAGCATTTTTGGACAGATGAACAACTTAAAGAATATTGGATAAAAGATCAACAGAACAGTTTTGAACATAACACGAGAGTTTTTGAGTAAATTTATTTTTTTTATTTAATTATAGATAAAAAATAGAAAAATTAATTGTATGAAAATATTAGTAAGACATAATAATATGTAATTTTTGGGCCTTAAGTCATAATCCATTGAGTAGTCTGGCTATCGTAACCAGGCTGTCTTGTGGATAAGGTCTGCCCATATATTGAACATATTTATGTATTGTATTTATTATTCATTTTTACATAAGCATGTAGATTTGTATGTTAGTTTATTATGTTAGGCATTTGAGTTTAATGGCTGAAGAATGTTCAGATGATATGCTTTTAAAATGGTTTCGTGTGATTGAATGTCTGGGAGCAGGAGGCGTATCCCCTGTGGAAGACATTATTCAAGCCATCCCAGTTTTTACTATGTTCCCATATCATTTTAGTACTTTACCTCGTCAACATATTGTGAGTGTTTTAAATTAAATACTTGTTTTGCTATTCAAATATTTTTTTATTATTAATTATTACCTTTATTATTTAATTAAAGAAAGTACTATTAAAAATGTATAACATGCATCGTGGATGGAGAAGAAGAGTGAGGTTAAAGAACTTAGCACAGTATATCCAATTAATGGATAAGGCAATAGAATCTGAAGGTGGACCAGATAAATTAAATGATAGACAATTACAATGGGTATGTTGTTATTAAAATATTTTACTAATATGTAAATTGATAAATAATATTATTATTGTGTAATGTATTTGTATTTAAAAAAAATGTATAATTATACATTCTCATATATTTGGTAGAGTGCTATATGTTTTTATTATTTTAATTGGCAGTTTTCTATTTTTGTTGCAGGCATGCCTATTTAGAGGTTTGAACCCTTTTTCATCATCTAGGGAAACACTTGTCCTATACTTAAAAGATTGGATAAAGATCTCCTCGAACATTGATAACGATTCACTCAGTTGTATACTCCACTGTCAGGTTTTATTGGCATTAAATCGACCAGAAAATGACATACTAAAAAAAACTGAATAATAAATGGTGCTTAAATAAAAATTAAAATAAATAACCATTTAAAACGTAGACAGATTAAACCATTGTAATTACAATAATAATAAAATCTAGTCTGTACTTACTTTTATTTTGTAGTACCTATGTTAATTGATGTTTTGTAAGGAAGAATGAATATCCAGTGGTGTTAATAATATTCTGTCTTGTTGATATTTTATTTTGTTACATTGTAATTTTATTAAATAGATTTTTTTTTTTCAATTTTAGTTGTGTTTAAAATTTGTTTAAAATTTTTATTATCTTTAATAATCATTTTAATATTTTTCTATGAATATCAAGAGATTAAGACCATGGTTTAAGATAATTATGTAAACAGTGGTCATGACCATTGCGTTATGTCACCAAGTACTACACCACGATTGTGCTTAAATTAACATTTTCAATGGATTTCATTACAACGGGCTAGTATAATAATTCTTATTAGTAAGCTATATATATTTTACTAATACGTAGTCACTGATATTTACTGACTTTCAAAAAGGTTATTGTGAGAACAATACTGAATATAATGATCACAAGGTGAATCGGGCTAGTTTAAAATCCAATTACACTGTTAAGACACAGCACATTACGGCATAACGAATCATCCAAATATTCACACTTAGCAGTCATAGTATGTCATCTACCATAAAATGATGTAATTACTCAATACAAACCTCTAGCGTTGGTACTTAAGTACATTTTGGTTGTTAGTTACACGAAGCTAGTGTTTCTATGTAGTGCAGACAGTGCAGTGTTTTATTTTGTTCAATAAAAAACTGTAGCATATTTCGTCATTTTTCAATGCCAGATTTGGTTATTGTAGCAATTTTATTAGACGAAAAAGAAAACAGTCTCCATCTACACTGAAAACCATTTAAACGTTTATTTGCATCAGACATTTTAAAAACTGATATGAAAATAAAACCACTTGAATAAAATAAAATAACTCAATTTAAATAAACTTGTTAAAATTGTAGTAAATAATTAGAGTCTTTGACTCTCCATTGCACATACACTTAATGTCGTTTTCATACACTGAATAGGTAAATAATTAATAAAACGATAGTGGGATACCATTTACCATAATATTATGTTATTATCGTGTTAATTATTCAATAATACTGAATTTTCCGAAAAATGTTTAAAAAATAGTTTGTCATAGTGAAAAACCTATAATCAAGATCCAAAAAATGGGTTAACTTCAAAAATTAGTTCTTTAGAAAATTATAATTTCACCATTGCTATCAGTGTCAAAATATATAATATGGGTTTGAAAAAAATAAATTGTAAAACTTAATGGAAACTATAAATTGAATTTATACGTATTATGTATGGACCTATCTAAAATACATGTCTAGTATTTTCTAATTTTCAACGGATGAATTT